CCACCAAACGGCTTGAGCAGCTCGGGCTCTGGACTTTGATATTCCCTGGTGACCTTCGTGGATCCTCAACAGCATCTCTTGGCGCATATTTGCCGGGATGACGATGCGGTCGCCATGGGTGAGGATCCCCTGGACGAAGCTGAGGTTGTCTTGGTTCTCCCAGTAGAGCTTCACTGTTGTTGATTCAATGTCGCGGGAGTACTTTGGCCAGCCACTGCGAATGTGTGATGCGACTTGCACCAGCACTTCATCGAGGGCAGTTTCACGTTTGATCTCGTCCAATTTCCCCTGGGAGACTGGCCAGTGGCTTGTGACCATATGGACATGTGCTTCAACTTCGTCTGGAAGGTTGTCGCTTTCAGTGACCGATGACTTCAAGGGTGCGCGAGACAGGGTATCGGCCACAGTGAGGAGTTTGCCAGGTACGTACTCTGCAGTGCAGTGGTACTTCATGAGACGCATAAGAAGTCGTTGACACCTCAGCGGAGCGTCACACAGATCCTTATTGTTGATGAGTGGAACCAGCGGTTTATGGTCAGTCTGTATGGTGACGTGAAGGCCTCGAAGGTATACGTAAAACCTCTCGCACGACCACACCGAGACCAACAGCTCTTTCTCTATCTGCGCGTAGCGTCGTTCAGATGGAGTGAGGCTTCTTGAACAGTACGCCACTGGCTTCCACTGTTTGTCATCTTGTTGCTGCAGAATACATCCACCCAGTCCGTATTCGCTTGCATCAGCGCTAACCATGGTCGGCTTATTTGGATCATAGAAAGCGAGTGCAGGAGCTGATGTGAGGAGTGTCTTAATGCTGCGAAAAGCTGACTGCTGTGGTGATCCCCACACCCAGCTGACATCACTCTTCAGTAGGTCATTAATTGGTGCAGCGACTGAAGAGACATGGGGAATGAATCGCGCAAGCCAGTTGATCATCCCCATTAGTCGTTTGACTTCGGTTTTGGTGGTTGGCGGTGGCATTTGGATGATCGCTGCTATCTTTGCAGGGTCGGCATGGATGCCGTCTTTATCAAGCTTCATGCCGAGGAAGTCGACCTTTGTTTGGGCGATTTTGCATTTGTCCTTGTTCAGCTGTAGTCCAGCGTTCTGCACAATTTCGAGAATGCGCTGGAGTCTTTCATCGTGTTCTTCTTTTGTGCGACCGGTGATCAGTACGTCGTCCATGTACACCACGACCCCGGGTATGTCGGTTAGAAGGTCGCACATGATGCGTTGATATATTTCTGGTGCCGATGTGATGCCAAATGGAAGGCGTTTAAAGCAGTAACGCCCGAATGGTGTAATGAAGGTAGTGAACTTCTGGCTTTCCTCTGTCAGTGGTACTTGCCAGAAGCCATGCTTGGCATCTAGCAGGGAGAATATCTGGGCGCCAGCGACTTTGCCGAGGACTTCTTCGACGGTTGGTATGGTAAACCTCTCCCTGACAACTGCTTTGTTCAGTCGTCTGAGGTCTACGCATAGGCGAATGTCACCATTCTTTTTCGGCGCTATCACAATAGGCGAGCACCAATCTGTGGGGTCAGTGATACGCTGAATGATGTTCTGTTGCTCCATCCTCTCCAGCTCCTCTTTCAGTTTGGGCATGAGAGGAATGGGGATACGACGAGGAGTCATGACGCAGTAAGGGGTGGTGGCTTCGTCTACCTTGATGCTAACTGCTTGTCCATGCAGACATCCACCCCCTTCAAAAACACTCTCATGGCTGAGTAGAGTGTAGACTCTGTGGACCAATCCAAGCGAGTCACAGGCATGCTTGCCTATGACTGGTTCTCCCTGAGGCAGGATGAGGAACAGCAAGCTTTGAGTTTTGCCCTTGACTTGGCAAATGAGTCTGGTCTGGCCGATTGGTGTGGCTTTTCCCCCGAAGAATCCTGTAAGGCGAGTGGAGGACGGCTGTAGGGTCTTATCGGGGACATTCAGCGCGTTGAAGATGTCAAGCGGGAGGATATTGACCTCAGAGCCTGTGTCAAGTAGGAATGACACAGTCTGTCCATGTACATGGAGGTCCTGTCTCCAAACGTCATCGATGGGCAGTTGCTGTCGGCGTATGGCACCAACAAAGAACTCGTTCTCTGCAAAAGTACAGGTTTCATCCTCTTGTTCTGGATCTGTCTGGAGAACTGCTCGCATCTGTTTGGGCCTTGATCGGCAGACTTTTGAAAAGTGGCCGATCTTATTGCAGCTCTTACAGTGTTGTCCCTTGGCAGGACAAGTTCTATGGGTTGAGGCGTAGCCGCAATTCTGGCAAAGGGGACCACTCAGTCTGGGGTACGAGGATCGCTGATCCCTTCTCATGGGAGGTTTGGTGGAGCGTTGCTTCTGGCGCTGCTGCACCTGATGGACTGCCTGGACTGTAGTAGTATTACTATCTCCCCGGGCCTTAATGTCCTGCTGATCCTTTGTGGCTGTTTCAAGCGTTTTGGCAAGTTCGGTGGCTTTGGAGAATGTCAGGCCATCTTTGGTGAGCAAGTGTTTCTGGATGAACAAACTGCGTATGCCGCAAACTAGCCGGTCGCGAAGGGCATCATCAAGAAAAGAACCGAATTTACACGGTCCAGCCAAGGTTTGCAATTCCACAGAATACTGTGCTACAGTCTCACCAGCATTTTGATTGCGCTGATAAAACCGGAATCGTTCAGCAATCACCAGTCGTTTGGGCCCGTAGTGCGATTTGAGCAGAGTACACAGTTCAGCGTAAGTCTTTTCAGTGACTGCCACAGGTTCAGAAAGGCTCTTCACAGTTTTGTACACATTTGCTCCGATACAACTCAGCAGAACAGCAGACTGCTTGGCTGGAGAAATGTCATTGGCCTTGAAATACAGGTCCAATCGTTCGAGGTAGTTGGTGATTTCCTCTACTTGGTCATATGGATCGAGCCGTCCGATCAAAGCTGAACTATAGGGCGCCCCCTGTGACTGCGACATGATCGATGTACGTTAGGCACACGTACGAACGTGGCGAATCGGACGAAAAATAACGGTTTGTTTTGCCACAAAATGTCCAACTACCTGACGTGATATAGTCTCAAAATGTCACTGATTATGTCTGCAAACATTTACTGGGACCACCGCTGCCACTATGTTGTGTTTATGGGTCCTTTCAAACCAGTAAATAATGGAACGAACTCACCGAGTCTTCACAGGAACTCGTGGCATGGGCGCCGCCATTTTAATACACACTGTAACTCATGGAACGTGTAGTTGGTGTCCCTCACAGAACGTATCATAATGCATGGACATACGACAGCAGAATGAAGAGAAACACTAAAGGGAATCATTGAAAAAAAATTGGGTTGTAAGAGTTTTCACAGTTTGAGCAAAATGAGTTTTTCCACTGGTGTTCCTTAACTACACGAAAAGAAAGGAAAGTCCACACTAGGTATGTGAAACAAGTCTGAGTGTGTGTGTGTGTGTGTGGGTAGGCATTACATTCACTGTGTGGACTTCCGAACAAAAGAGGTCCACATAAACCAGGTAGAGGAGACGTTGTGTGGACTTGGGCAAGTCCACACAGTGTTTCCCCATTTCTGGAAAACAGGTTTAGAGGCATTTTTGGGTTAGGCTTATCCTTGGCAAAATGAAGAGAAACACTAAAGGTGATCATAGGAAAAAAATTGGGTTGAAAGAGTTTTCACAGTTTGAGAAAAATGAGTTTTTTCAATGGTTTTTCTTAACTACACGAAACTAAGGGAATGTCCACACTTGGTATGTAACGTGTACGTCCGTATACAGTGGTATTTTGGTTAAAGTTTCGAAAACTTGGTCTCATTGCAAATGTTGAAGTCCAATTGGAACCAAACTTGAGTCTTAGATGCAACATGGCAACTTTCATTTGCTAATGATGTCAAAGGTCACATACCAAGGTCAAAGGTCATCTGAGGTCAAGTTGTAAAATAGGCTGAAAATGTAAAATTGGTCTCATTTGAAAAGTTGAAGTCCAATTGGAACCAAACTTGAGTCATAAATGCAACATGGCAACCTTCATTTGCTAATGATGTCAAAGGTCACATACCAAGGTCAAAGGTCATCTGAGGTCAAGTGGTAAAATAGGCTGAAAATGTAAAATTGGTCTCATTTGAAAAGTTGAAGTCCAATTGGAACCAAACTTGAGTCATAAATGCAACATGGCAACTTTCATCTGCTAATGATGTCAAAGGTCACATACCAAGGTCAAAGGTCATTTGAGGTCAAGATGTAAAATAGGCTGAAAATGTAAAATTGGTCCCTTTTGAAACAGGCTTTGTTATGCGAATAATGCTATTTCCATATTCATGACAAAACCATGATGTCATTCAAGGCAGAAACTTCAATGTCACACCTCCTACAGTACCAACATCAAAAGTTGCCAGACTTTTGGATTGGTTGCAGTAGTAAATTTTCTTTTTTGGGTGATTCAGTGTTGTTTGTCCACGTACTGACGTGGACAAAAACGTGGACAAACTTTTTGCGCATTTGTTTTCAGTGAGCAATTTTGTTTGTTCGCAATTTGAACAGAAAACCCCTACACTGAAGAGTGTACATAACTTGATATCACAGCAACAGCACCCTCAGTATTCAAGAAGAACATGGAACCATTTAAATGGAAAAGCATCCATCGAACAAAAATAAGGGAAATTAAAGGAGGATTTAAAAGAGCATGTTTCCTAGTTTTCTATTTGATCAACATACAATGTACCATGTTGTCAAATTCATTTCATTGTCCATTTAACTATTGAATGTGGTACATGTTGTACATTGTTGATTAGAGGTTTCTTGAAAAATGTGGCGGGCCCTAGTGTTTGGGGGGGGGGGGGTTTACAACACTTCCTAAGTTCCTATGTACATGATTTGTTTGCGTTCCATTATAAATCAACCCAACCCCCACCCAAGCACCCAAGCCTCCCCCCTAGCCCAACCCACACCCCACCCCAACCCCCCACTAAAAAAGTGTTGTACCGGTACCTATTGTTTATACACATGTATAATTTGCTATTTTTGGGCAGGCACAAAGGATTCTTGAAGGACTGTCCCAATGGTTACCTGAATCAAGAGGTGAGTCAATGTCTTTGTAAATTGTAGTGTACATGTGAAAGCCCTATACAGTGTATGTAGAAGGAAATCAATGATTTGAAGATGATCATATTTCAAGCAAGCACTGTGACTAGTCAAATTCAGTCAACAGACAAAAGCAGGGAGGAAGTAGGCACAGCTGGCTTGTCAATCACCTACAGTCAAAGCGTAGCTGTATTAAGTAACATACACAGTCACAGCCAGTCAATCCTGCTTAATGTAGGCTGGGAGCTCTTAACTGTTGAAAACAGTCAATTGATTTTGATTGAAAGGACAACTGTGCGCAAAATGTATGTTTTCAATTAGACGTGTGTTTTTTTAAAGATATATAGGAAAACTTGACATAGCCACAGCCTACATTTGACATTGTAATTACACACCATTGTGCCACAGTGTGCTTATATTAGCATACATACATGACAGCTCAGTGATGTCTTCCTGGAGGCTGTTGGACATAGAACCTATCAGCCAGTCTGGAATGCTGTATTCACTCCCATTGGAATTTGCGCTCCAAGAGAAATGTCATCAGTTCTCTTGTGGAACTTAATGAACTATACATACGTGTGGACAATATGTTCTCATTACATGGCTGTGCTTAATTAAGGCCCTGAAGATTTTTGTAATTAATCTTAGAAAAAACTTGCCAATGAGAAAGAAATCATTTTTATTTATAATATGTATCACTGCTGAACAAGGGATTTTTTGGGGTGGGGGATAAGAAATATATGTTCCTTCCTCAGTTTATACATGTACATTGTAGGTATTAAACAATGACTGGTGGAGATAAGAACAGAAGAAAAAGACAATAATTGATGAATGGGATCTTGGATAAAACCAATTAACCTGGCCATTGTTACATTCACACAGGTTCAATTTTATTCTCTTCAGTGTAATTCTTGTAAAGCTTGGCAGTAATCAAGATGGCTTTTTAAATTGCATTTATCGCAAATGGGAAATGCACACCTTAAAGGGAATGTACAACATTTGCTGTTGCTTTAATTTTCATAAATAAATGGATTTGGAGGATTTGGATGTTTTAGCACACATTGTTAAAATGACTTGTTGCACGTTTTGGGCTTGAAGATGCTGGAAAACCCAGGAAAACCATTCATGTTCTTGTAGTCTGGTTCCCTGACCCAAATTAAGATGAAATGGAGAATTTATAGAGTTTGGGGAATTGTAAGGTCAGAGAATCAGTCCAGCAGGCTTGTACCCCTTCACAGGTGTGTTATCAACTTTGCAAAGAGTTTTTGCAGCAAAGAGTTTGCAAGCAGTTTTTAAAAAAAAAGCCAGTTTTCTCCAACGCTGGTCGGCCGACCAGCGTTGGAAAAAATACCATTTTTCTTGAAAATGTCAGCACACCAGGAGCCACGATTTTACAGGATGCTTTAGACTGTCATTCCCTAACAACCCAATAAGGTATTCCATGATAATTTGATCATTTCGTTTTGTGATGTTTGCAAATGTTGTATCTTCCCTTTAAAAAAAAAATTGTATTTCGACTTCATTCATAAACTATTCAAATCCAGATTTGATCCGACACGCGTGCTAGCCACATTATCACCCATGAGCTTAAACTTGATTGCTGTCAAAAGTGAATACAGTGCATTACTAGATTTTCCCAATCTGTCAACATCTCTGCATAATGTACATGTGTTCAGAGGATTCACACATTGGGATGAGCCACAGAATGTGCCAAATTGGCAGGATATATTCCTGAGTGCTGAACTTGTCCTGGCTTGAACCCTAGGCAGTTATTTATTACCGGGCCTGGTGTGGTGTCATGTCTCCTGCACTGTGGGGCATGTTTTGATAAGTGTGTTATCAATATTACCCTGGCTAAGAATATCGCAATGGTGGGCGGTAGTGAAATTAAAAAAGATAAGAGAATTCATTAATTTCACAGAATTTCTTTTGTTTTTGACTGGGTTAATAGCAAGATTTAAGAGTGTTATAAAACATTCAAATATTCTGTTCTTGTATTAAGTAAACATTTACAGTAATGACACTGAAACCAGTAAAAATCACACACAAGTTAGGCAGAATATGATTGATTTTGGCCTGTAGATGTAGATCACGGGCCAAAATAATAAGAAAGTGAATAGAAATAAAAAGGGGTCCATGCACAGTTTTTATTTCTATGGAAGGATTTTTTAGGAAACAGCCCCTGCATATTATAGTCACAATAGTTCTGCAAATAGTATCAGGATGTCCAGTCTATAATTGGATTTCACTTTTCTTTGAATTTGTAGCAGACGTTCTAAATAGGAGTAGAAAAAACAAACTGATATGAAACACGGCAGAGTCAGAGGAATGTTTGTGGACGCTCTGCTACAGGGCATGTGAGCTGCTTTGCGTTTCATAATCCACAGGAAGCCTGGTACATATTTAGAATCTGTGTCATTGTGGTTACAGTTTATTTTCTTTCAGAGAATCTTCACATCTCGTTCATATTCAGATTTTGTTTTGTTTTAGAAAGGATAATAACTGCTTTCTATTTGTAAACCACAATTATTAAAGTATAAAGGCCGGGTGTTTTGATATTAACATGATCTTCCACAAAGGCCTTTGAGTCTTTGAAGAGGATGTCAAAAAGTTGGTGTCAAGAGATTGGATGCAATATGTGGTTGAGGGGTTCCCTTTATGTGACACACTGAAATAAAACTCAAGATCTCTGCCAGTAAACAGTTGTGTGGCTTTTTTTTATAATTTGATAGATTACAACTTTTCATCACATCATCATCAAGCTTAATGTTTTCTGATGATTTTTTTTTTTGGCGCATTCTAAAATATTTCACTTGCTTTGATTACTGTTTTTCCAAGTGGATTACAAATGCCTTTTGCATGGCAGTTACATTGTATGTATGGTACAAGACTGAATGAGATTTATGTAGTTTGACAGGCAGGTATTTGCTTACGTCATGACGTCCCTCTGAGCATACGGAGGATAGATAAGGGATCACGTTTCCTCTGTTTCCTCTGTGCTGTAGAGTTCAGAGAAATATTTGTCGTAGTATTCTTTAGAGAATCAATGCTTTCAATTAGAGTGCATGGAATATTTTATTGTGTTTCCTTGATATAGAAATTTGGTTCCTTAAGGGAAATATCCAGTTTGTGATGGCCCTTTTTATGTCTTGCCCAAAAATAAGCATAACACCGGAGTAATGAAGCAAACAATGTATGTATGCATCTGACATATTATTCAAACATTCTGTGGTCTACATGAGAGCATTTTTATAATGAACTGTTAGTGAAATAAAAGAGGGTAATAATGCTGTCTGGCTGAAGACGATGGGATATTGATTCAGCCTTTTTCTGTATCAAAGATTCGTGAATTGGTTTGGTTGAAAGAGAGCTTTCACGGGTAAGCTTCTGCAACTTGAATCAGTTCTTGCGTAACGGCTCATAAACCTACAGTATGAATGCCAAAGAGAATTTGTTTTGCAAGTACCGGTTCTGGTGCAAGTTCAACCTAGTTTTTTTTCTCAGTATGGTGTTCCTTTGCAAAGAGTGAATGGGAAGCATCAGATGGGAACATCAATCACTAGTCACCATCCGGTATGGAGATATCTGGCATACGCTGTGCAACATATTGGAACCAGTTCCACATTGAAATGACATCAAATTGATGCCCACCCTGACAAATTGCTGAAATGTACTGGGCACTCTTTCATTTATATCCAGCCTGAGGGTGTTTTTAATAATGCGTTAAGTGACAAGTATTGAACGGGTTGTCATCCATGCAATGTGTGCCGAATTAGCCTGAAGTAATTAAAGTGTGATATAATGTCACTCCGGTGGGGTCGCATGGCAAGCTGTTGTGACCAGGTAATTACATGTAAGCTTGACCAATGTTTACACACGCAAAATGGAGACTCCTGGGAAAAGTACAGTTTGCTAATAATCTAATTAATTCCAACCTGTGAATTGAACCAAATGTAATAGCATGCTACAAGTACAATGTACCGTACAATCTACTGCAGCCTGTTTATAGCAAAACATCCTCTCTTGTACTTGGCATGTTGAGAAAATTCAGGTCAGAGATTGAACATTATGTTTTTGAAGAACAAAGCCCATTAATTTTTTTAATGTCTCATCCAGAAAAACAGTCTGGCCTCACAGCATGTTGTAAATGTTTGTAAATAATGAGAAAGAATTTGTCTGCTTGGATTGAAACATTGGGCCCTATAACTTTCTCAAAAGTTAAAAGATATTGTGTTTTGCCTGATAAAAAAATCAAGTACAGTTTTAAACAGAGAATGAGATATGAAGGTCATGCTGTGTTCCCATGAACTCTTTGCTGTACATGTTGGAAATTTCAGAAACAACAAAAGCACTCTCAATTTGCCCCAATATAATTTATCTTAAAAGGAAGCCCAATTTTAGAGTTACACAGCAGGCTATTTACCAACCAAGGATCCCCAGTGCAGTCAGAAGGAACCTGGTGTACATGTATGTATACTGTAACAGGATGAAGATTAGGAAATGGGGTTAATGGGATTTTCGTTGAACGACCTGCATATCATTGAACTGTTGGATGGGCACCGCTGGCATGGCAGAATGCCAAGAAGCCATTCTATTGCCATCAATCTCTCCCAAGTCCTATCCTAAGGCAGCAATTATACCAGCTAATGATCTAGCACTGTCAACACAATAATCATACATGTACTTGGCAGGCCAGAAGAAGTGAGCTGAATATGCACCAGTTGTGGTCTGTAGGGCACTCCAGTAGACCATGGAGGAGTAGTTGCACATGAACAGGATCTAGGAGGAGGCCATGTGCATGTAGCTTCTTAATCTTATTTACCTCCGTTATTAGGAGGTTAGCCTATGTTTTCACCGGTGTTGGTTTGTGTGTTGTTTGGTTAGTTGGTTTGTTTGTGAACAATTAACTCAAAAAGTTATGGACGGATTTTCATGAGCATTTTTTAAGGGGTGGTCCTTGGTACAAGTGCAAATCTATTAGATTTTGGAAGTGATCTGGATGTGGATTCAGGATTTTTTTAAAGGATTCTTCACCACTTTTTGAGCAAAAAAGATTGCCAGTGTGTGGGTAATGCTCGCAGCGTGCAGTCTATGGTTGCAGACCAGTAAATCGGTCCCAAATTGCCTACCCCGGCCAAATCACGATTTGCATGCCCTCAAAATCCTCAGTATTTGAGCATACTGTGGGCCATGAACTAGAGGATATGTAAAAAATATGGGTGGGAGCCGTGCACAGGACTGTGTGCTTGTAGTTCCGTTCAATTAGGATGAAATTGGGGCCCTAACAGCGCTCTATTTTGCAATGGAGTGTAGGCATCATTTTTCAAAATGGCGATGTGCTTCAGGACTATTTTAAGGGGTGATCATCTTCGGATGGAAATTTCTCCTAAAAGTCATCAGTTGACCCCCCGTAAATTGAATAGAAAATGAAAGATGGTGAAATAAGCTTTAATTTGATGTGTGTCTCGAACAACTTCGAGAGTTGTGAGTATTTTTTCCGAATTTCTGAAGTGGGAGCATTTATCATTGGGGTCAATGGAAGTTTATTTACTGGTCTGCAACCTGTAATTTCAAAATGGCGTCGTCCATCGTTCATTGTCAAAATATTCCACGACAGTGGTTTTTCAGGGGGGCGTGACCTGGGGGGGGGGGGTGGCCGCGTTTCAAAGGGGTTTCCAATGGCGGTTCCGCAAAAAATGCGCCCAAATCTGCAGGGGGCCGATAGACTGTCATCCGATTACAGAAATTTCGAGGGAAAATGGAGGGGGGGGGCGGTGATTTGGGGGTGGAAAGGAGCTGGAATTCAATTTACTCCCGTTGGGGGCGCCCTATACAGCAAGGAAGCCGCAAACAGAGGTGTTGTTTTCAGGCCAGATATCAAACTGACAGATTTTTTTCTCCCAATTTTTTAATGAAATATGAGTTAAATACATCCTTCCTCATACCGTACAAGTATTTCCAGTATTTCCGAAATAGCCCATGCCGGCCAAATTACGATTTGTATGCCCTCAAAATCTTCAGTATTTGAGCATACTGTGGGCCATGAACTAAAGGATTTGTAAAAAATATGGGTGGAAGCCGTGCACAGGACTGTGAGCTTGTAGTTCTGTTCAATTTGGATGAAATTGGGACACTAAAAGCGCTCTATTTTGCAATGGAGTGTTGGCATCGTTTTTCAAAATGGCGATGGGCTTCAGGACTATTTTAAGGGGTGATCATCTTCGAATTGGAATTTCTCCTAAGAGTCATCAGTTGACCCCCCCCCCCCCCCCCCCCCCCCGTAAACTGAAAAGAAAATGAAAGATGATGAAATAAGCTTTAATATGATGTGTGTCTCGAACACCTTGGAGAGTTCTGAGTATTTTTCCCGAATTTCTGAAGTGGGAGCAGTTATCATTGGGGTCTATGGAAGTTTATTTACTGGTCTGCAACCCTATGAGCGCATAACACACACACCATTGAAACCAACAGGTCAGTGGACTGTACCATTTGATAGTATGGGGGAGTGGGGAATGTGCATCTTTTATGTATACACTATATACAGTCCAAGGTCAAGTAAAATGCCACATATGCTTGACCCGTTGACCTCTGCAGTACATAGCTCACACACAGTTAAAGTTAAAGGGGCAGTCCCTAGGGTTGCAGACTGGTCAGTAAATAAACTTCCATAGACCCCAATGGTAAATGCTCCCACTTCAGAAATTCGGGAAAAATACTCACAACTCTCCAAGGTGTTCGAAACACACATCAAATTAAAGCTTATTTCATCAGCTTTCATTTTCTTTTCAATTTACGGGGGGTCAACTGATGACTTTAAGGAGAAATTTCCATCCGAAGATGATCACCCCTGAAAATAGTCCTGAAGCCCACTGCCATTTTGAAAAATGATGACTACACTCCATTGCAAGATAGAGCACTTTAAGGGCCCCAATCTCATCCAAATTGAACGGAACTACAAGCTCACAGTCCTGTGCACGGCTTCCACCCATATTTTTTACAAACCCTCAAGTTCACGGCCCACAGCATGCTCAAATAATGAAGATTTTGAGGGCATACAAATCGTGATTTGGCCGGCGTAGGCAATTTCGGACCGATTTACTGGTCTGCAACCCTAGGGTGTAGAAGAATTAGGCCTATAAAAAAACTAACGTAATTTTTCAGTTATGGTTTACAATATGGAAGTCTAGTGGACATGCGAGTATTTCTTTTGGGTGTACTGACGATATGGCGGGGAATTGTTTAGCCTTGGCGGAGGTTTGGGCTCTCCGAGTGCTTTCTAATTGGCCCTTTTTTTTTTAGCTGTATAATAATTTTCAGATGTACACTGTAGTACAATGTTGCACCGGTAGGAGCAAAATGTACAAAGTCACTTTCACACTGGGTCACTTCCAATTGCTTACTTCACAGGTCTTGACAACCATCAATCTTATACAAGTTTCCCTTTGTGGTTGGTGTCATAATTTTGAGAGAGTTTTTGAATGTGTGTACAATTGTTTAGAAAGCTAGATGATTGAGAAGTTCCCCCATTTTTAAAAATTTTCCAAACACCCGTGTACCCTCCGACTAGTTCAGTTCCCTCCCCACAGATTTTTTAGGTTGGTCTGGATTTAATTCTGAAACTGTAAACTGATGTGCATGCATGTATATGTAAATAGGCTGTAATTTTATTGTAAATGTTGTGCATATAATATTATGTGCACTGTAGACTTCATGAATGTGCTTGGTACACTTTAATTGACCCTAACTCCCGAAGGCATTTTTGCTGGGATGCAACCTCAGTCCTGCAAAATCCTCTAACTGCCTCCTTGTAAAAAATGCATACATGTGCACTACAGCCTCAATCCTGCAAAATGCTCCATTTTGCAAAAAGGATTTTGGAGGATATGGCAAGGTTAGGGTTAAAAGACACTTTTACTTCAAGTTGTCATTGTTTATGTACATTTCCACAGTCTACAAGAAAGCATAGATATGTACATTGTTAGTTTTTCTATCGTAATGTTCTCACTGTTGTTCTTTCCTGCTTTCTTCTTTCATACAGGAATTCTCCAAAATATACCAGCAGTATTTCCCCACTGGAGACGCCACCAAATTTTCCTCTTTTGTATTCAATGTCTTTGATGAAAACAGTGTAAGTCACTTAAAAGTTCATAGAAAACATCTTTGAGCTTTACTTTTCTCTCTCAAATTCTCCTGTCTTTGGATTATGTGTGAGACCTTGTTATCAAAACTTATTAATAAATACCTTGGAGAGTTGATGGTTTCTGATTGGTCGAGACTCGATCACGTGGCCGGTCATTAACGGTGATAATGGACCGGCTTCAAAGATCAAGCGAATAAATGGCCCATGAACCAGCATTGATCAAGCCCCGTTCAGCCCCATGCAAGCCAATGATTGGTCAAAATATAGTAACAGTCCTGCGGTAGCTTTTAACAATTGAGCACTGCACATGTGCTCAACCCCCATCGTGTGAGACTGACGCGCGCGTACGCAACACCGTTGCTAGAGATGCGTGCGTGCGCGCGCGCGGAAGGAAGTTTTTAAACGACATCGTACAGCAGTGCAGTATATACTGAGGATGTTTACGACGAAAGCGTAGATCTACGATTTATTTTCTTTGAAACACTTCACCCACCGACATAATCCTTTCCTAAACCAAGCATCTTTGTAATTCCGGACACAAGGAATGTGTAACGAGATTTCAGCTTCCTCCATCAGGTAAAGATATGAAAACATTGTTGTAATTTGTTTCGCTACGGCAGCAGTTTCTGTTGAGTTTACGTCGTTATAGCTGTTAAGCTAAAATATGGCCCATGAACATGAACACAAAAAAGTCTGGAAATATCGCCGGAAAAAAGTCACTAAATTGGTGCATTTTAACTGTTTATTTCGTTATAAAGGTACTTATTAATGGGAATAACAGTGTGAGGATCCGGTCTTCACTGCGTGATAATGACCGGATGTGGGGGTGACTGCTGTTAATGGACCTCGACTTCGTCTCGGTCCATTAACAGCGGTCACCCCCACACCCGGTCATTATCACGCAGTGAAGACCGGCTCCTCACACTGTTATTCCCTTATCAACAGTCTAATAATGCAAAAGGATCGTTGCAAAAGATCATATCACCACGGTTACGTGCTCTTGCACGATGCTTCGTATGCAGGTCAGGTGTATGAAACCCAATATTTGACAAGAGATCAAACAATTTTGTAGTGCATTTGTTGGTCAGTGTCATAAAACTTGGCTATGAAACAATGTCATTCAGCAAATTGCAATAATAGCTCTATCTTGTCATACATCTGAAGCCAGGGGTCGAAGGGTCACATGCAACATAATCTTTCTTGGGGTGTTCTTGAATTGCATCTTTACCCAAGTAAATGTAAATGTGACGCTACTACCAGACTTTTTGAGCTATTTTGCTACATGCCAAATTCCATGTTTATGAGTAAAATAGTAATATCATCTCAGATACACTAAAGATGGTTCACTGTACTGGTGTATTAGCAATGGAGCTTGCAACACTAAGTTGTGCAGCAGAATCGCATTGTGTGAATTACATTGAGAATGCAGTGTTTCTTTTATGGCATACAATGGGCGAAACATTTCTGATAGGAATGGATCAACTATTTGCTTCTTTGTGTGTCTAGGACGGGGCAATAGAATTTGCAGAGTTCATCAGAGCATTATCAGTCACATCAAGGGGCAACATTGACGAGAAACTAGACTGTAAGTACATGTATCTAAATATGGTTGTGTTTTTTTTCTCAAATTACAAACAAAAACGATTATTAAAATGTACATGTACCTTCTACTGGTATACATGTATTTAAACACTAATCATAGGGTGATCGGTGAGTGTCGGGATGAGGTAGACTCGGTCTATCACCGTCGTTTGGAAACTGCATATTGCTCGCTTTGGAATGATGAGAGTCCTCCATTACATGAAATTCTTGCCAGACAAATCCTTCCGCGTAGTGGTAGGATGAGAGTGCCGAAATCTGGGACAAAATCATGACACCCACGATCATTTATACCATCTCACTTCACAATTCCAATTTTAAGCGTTAGTTATTTTATTTTTAAGAATTACAGACAGTGACAGAGAAGTAGTTTTTACATGTTTTTAATTACATTCAATATTGTATAACCTTAATCATAATATTATGTTAGTTATCCCGCGAGCGGGAGTGGAACACGGAATAATGTAGTGCGTCTGTGTCCCACATATGTACCACGAGGCCGAAGGTATGTGGGACACAGACGCACTACATTTTCCGTGTTCTGCGAGCGTGATAACGAATTTATCTTCAAGCAAACTTGACGCACAATAAAGATGAAACGCACGCTGTACACAAAGTGCTTATCCTATTACACGTGCGTGGTTTGTACGGAATGGCTATCGCATCTTGGAACAGTGGAATACGCGGAGTGCAGTATGAACCGTGGCCGTACTACATGGTTATATGTAGCACGGCTTGTTGCCATGGATCGCCCAATCAGGATCGAGGATTCAAGTTTACTTGAAGATAATTGTAAATGTTTGTGTTTTTGTGATAGCATTGTAATTTTTAGAGTTTTTGTTAAGTACTCATTCTCTATTGTACTGTACCGGTGAGAAAATTTAATTTCCTTGATGGATTAATAAAGTATTTTCTATTCTATTCATGCTATTCTGCATCCAAATTTCTTGGCTTCAGCTGGTAATATCACATGCATCTATGGAAGTGACTGAAGCCAGTCCCCACAGACATGTGTGAAAATGTCTGCTTTAGCCAGTTAATGCAGATCCAACTTAGTCAGTTTGTCATTTTACGTGCAAATTCATTGTTGACTTGGCAAGATTCCATGCTTTGTGGATAATATCTTAAACTACTTGGTCTCAGATAGAGACTCAAATTCACTGTCTGGTCAAGTTTTGCAGATATTAATAGTCATCATTTTGTAAACTTTTGTCAAGCACAAACACAATTTGTAGAAAATATTTGCTTTGAAGCAAAACCAGATTGCCAACTCAAATTGTCATGGGATGATATTGATTGTGGCTGGTTCAGAGATGAATTATGCAACAGTTTGCAGTATCTTCTAGTGAGCAGCTTCATGATATTCAGCACTCATTTAATTGATTATCATCCATGATTAGGGGCGTTTCGGCTGTATGATCTGGACCATGATGGCTTCATTACACGTGAGGAGATGTTAAACATTGTAGATGCTATCTATCAGATGGTAGGCAATATGGTCAGTCTACCAGAGGAGGAGAATACGCCACAGAAGAGGGTGGATAGAATATTTGCCCTCATGGATAAGGTATGTATGACAAGGCAATAATATACATTTTTGTACAAATAAAACAACGGTTGTTGACTGCTGTGACGTGGGATAAGATGTTTGTAACACCTGAGGGGGTGCCCCGAGGGGGTTAAAACGGCGTATCCCATATCACAGCAGTCAACAATTGTTATTGTTATATCGTGCCAATAAGTCAAAATGATAAATGGTTGTTACTAATTACTGTGTGAGAAATAAATTAAACCCACTTTGATATAACCTGTCGGACATGAGACTGAGCGGTTCGCAGTTCTCATTGCTCGAAGCTAGCGCGCAGGCAGGGTCCATACGCGCATGTAACGTGTGCAACGGACGCAGTGCAATATCACTGATCTCTATGTAAGAGTGTTACATGCGTTTTTATAGACCAGACACGTGGCTGTTCAAAACCAATGAAATTACAGCATCCAAGCACACAATATAACAATAATATTTGTATCCAGCTTCCACATAGTACAAATAAATTGCACTCGCTATAACAGTATTGGCACAAGTCGAATAGCTTGTGCAATATTCTTGTATCCCCCTCAAATCCAACCAATGTATAAATATTGGTCCCAAAGTGTTTGCTGAGTTGACTGCCTCCTGATGCAAAGCATAGGGAGGTACATGTAGTCAAAATCAGCCAACATGTGGGAACCAGTCATTTTACACTGCTTCCCGAATTTGTTTTTTACACCCCATACATATTTAGATCCGTTAAAAGTAAGAAACTTTGATATGAAATCCCTCCCACAGAATACATATAATTATTATTTATCTATCGCGACCTCACTTGCGATCACGATTGTTGCATTATTAGGAGCATACCGGTAGGAACTAATCGAGAGGTACTACATTTGTTTTGTACTTCCTTGGTAGAACCCACCAGTTGGGCGATAGTGCCTGCATCACGTGTGCTGGGTAGCTACCTTTACTTCCCTGACACATTGAAACATCCATCAATAAAAAAAATGCGTTTGGTTTATAAATGTGTATGAGGTGTAATTATATACATGTAATTAACCCTCTCAATACCGATGTTGGGTTTACTTGACAAGGAAACCACACTCAGAACACCCAGTTGTTAAAAAAACCAAGTTTATTGCACCACCTATACTTCATCCACACACATACTGACAGTATTTTGTATCATTGTTGTGTAAGTTAACTTATTCATTGTATTACCATTAAAAAATCTGGAGAAACGTGCTTCTCAGACATCCATGTGCAGTTTGAGTATAAAATGCCATTCATTCAGAGCTATTTGAAGTGGTCAAGAAACGCCATCTTCTGTTTACACATGGAGTGCACACAGGGTTGCATGCATCCTCTGTTGCTGTTGGACCAGTCAATTAGCAGCATCAAGCTTTCCAGTGTGCTCAAAGATGAATGTCTTTTGCTCTTATTTATTTCAGAACAAGGATGATAAATTGACAAAGGAGGAGTTTCAGAATGGATCTAAGGAGGACCCAACCATTGTGCAAGCATTGTCACTCTATGATGGCCTGGTATGAGAGGCTAAAGAGATTCTTGATGAGCAGGAGCTGCAATACTTAAGTGAGCACAAATTCTAAGATGTTATTGTTCAGAGGTGCAATGTCCATCCACATGTGGATGTTCATGGTCTTAACTTGTGTTGGAATACAGCGTTTTCAAAGTCAGAGTTAATGTTATCTCAGGCAAGGGAATACTTACACATGTAGTAACTTATTTTGTTTCTCAAGTATTTTTTTAATCTTGTTCAAACGATTCTTTGGAGGTTCTGTTGGCTTAAGATTTTCTGAAATTCCAATATGGACATTTGGCTTCTGAATGGAAAATGACCAGTACTAAAAATGAATTGAAAGTCCACTTCTGATGCAGGTGGAGTAGCCCAAGGAGTAATAACATTAGACAGTCTTCACCATTTATACATGCATGGATCCAGATGGGGACAGACAGAAACCATTTCCATCACTTTCTACATGTCTTCCTCCAACAAAGTGGAAACAATTTCCATTTATATATTGTAGAGCCTTTTTTTTTAAATAACAGAATCCAGCGTCATCATGACAGAATGCATGACATAATTCTCACCTGGTTCCTATAGACAGAATTTTCATGATGATGTCATAATCACTGCGTCTTCAGTAGCTGTGCAGTGAGAGACGTTTTGTTTACATTGAGTGTGCGGGAACGGTCAGAATGCCATTCAAAACGTGACGTCATCATGAACTTCTTTTTTATACTGCAACAGTATTGCAGTGTGGTTCTTTTGAGAGTTCCTGAGCACAGTGTACTGCAACTACAATCAGTACCAAGCCTATGATGACTGAGTACTTAATTTAAGTGTGTTGATCATTCAAAATGAATGAAGACTGACTAGGGTCCAAGTCCTTTTGCAAATACCGTGTAGATTCGAAGGCTAGTGTCCAGAGCTATGGTTATGTCGGTTGTGGTCGTTCATGCTGCACTAGTTATATGTCAGTATTCTTGGGAGCCTTTGAAAAGGACTCCCCTACAGCACTGTAATGTCACATACATGTAGTAAACATTGTCATGTCATAGCATCTCAGGTTTATTGACAGGAGGCTTGATGTTTGAATCAGAATGAGTATTGTAAGGGGTACAACAATATTGCAAGAGTTATCTGGGCCCAGGTTTTCTGGCTCTGTGCACAATAAGTGAAGAAGCTGCACTATTACATTTGTAAACCATTGCATTAAAATTAAGTCCTGTTGATAAGCAAATTTCCTGGGTAAGCATGGAGTTTGGACCTCGCATCATGCAAAAGGAATTCTGTGCTTACAGAGTTAGTGCAGAGGTTCTGTGTTAGCACTGTAAGCACAAAATGGTGATTATAAGTGCAGAATTCTGTAGTAAGCAGAGCCATATAACATGGGACCCTGAGCTCCTGATGAAGTAGCCCTTTGGATATGACTTGGTGGGCAAACTAATCTTTAATGATTTGTTTCCTGTGAATAGAGCCTTTGCACTGCATCTTTGATGTGTAATATATGCTACAGGGATACGCATGAGTAGACACAAAACACACCTCCAAGATGGCTGCTGAATGCACTCTATCTATACATGCCAACTTGCTTAGTCACATACCAGTGTTGTAGTCGAGTTCTTTGTTCCGAGTACCAAGAACTGCCGAATTGCTCAAAACGGTACTCGAGTGGTACTTGAGTGTGAGTACGGTGTACGAGTACTACAACACACTCACATACTCCATCAGCCATGAACCCTGTCACAATTATGATTGTGCTTGACATCGGTACATCAGTTTGTTGGCCACTCGAGAATATCTTTTCTAACCACTGCCTCCGGCTGAATCTGATGTAAAAAAAACACCAAATTCACAGATAGTAAAAGTACAATCTGTGTTAAGCTGGAAACTTGGCATGTATGCTATAGTTGAACTATTATGTTTTTACAGAGGTTTTTTGGGGGTTTTTTTGTGGCCGTCTCATCAGTACATGTATTTGTATATACATGTATACACATTAAAAATATACAATATTTTTAATGAACATGATTGGGCAGAATGAGATCTTGTGTATGTATTTATGTCAACACCTTACATCTGTGCTAGTCCTATATAACTAGACATCTGTTAAAAAGGAATCAGACTGAAGAAAAGGTGACTGTAAAGGGATCATTCTATCAATTTGGGGTCCAGTTTTTGTGTCCCTGTTACATCTGATGTATACGATTTTGTAATTCAGGACACATATTTAATGCCTTGTATCTCCAAGAGTGATTAACTGTAAAGCAAAGTCAAACAAATACAAAAATAGTATGAAGTTAATTTTAACGATACTCGAATGGCAAATTACACAGGTCAGTTGTAACAGGGGCACAAAAAATAGCACCCTTTTGGACCCCAAATTCATGGAATGACCCAAGTACATGTGTCCTGATAGCACTGTTTTCTTTTCAGCAGAGTAAGCCAGGATAATTAAACTTTGTACCTCTCATAAAACTATATTATATATTATTAAGAACCTATGTGACATGTTGATGAGGCATGAGTGGGGTGCCACCTCAGTATTCATCATCTTAGTCATGTCACTGGTGTAGTGTGTAATGTGACCTCATTGTTGACATATTGAGTTTGGTTGAATCAACAGTAATGGTATTTTAAGGTTTACCTATGTCTGTACATTTACATAGATCTTGAATATTTAAAATCATGCAATTTTGAGTGATACTGGATTGTTTATCTTTCTGGAAGGTTATTATTTGTGGCAAGACTAATTATCTGCAATAAGTGTACATAAAGAGGCGTATAAGAAGACATTGAAGTGTATTGATAATGTAAACTTTAACTAAGTATCCAAATAATGATTGAGAAGTTAGAAACCAAAGTGATTAAATGTTTGTATAACTAATTCAATTTTATGCTATTAAATCAATCCTAAACTTCACATTTTATTGCAACTTTTAATACAAGTATTGAGGGTGGTGAGCAGTCGTTCCTTGACATGAGATAAATGCAGACACCTACATGTACAATGTACGTGAATCTCTAGTACTACGTGTGTGTTCATATGCCCAGTAGTTTGACTATAATGGTGGTGGCCATCACAAATATCTTGTGCAGATGAATTTAGGCTTCGTAATATCATACTGGAGCTGGCACCAATCTGCATTGTTTACACACAGTACCAGTGATATGTAAATGTACACACACAATATATACATTAGAAACTCTTGTTAGAAAAAAAGAAAATTTTTATCCACAGAGAAAATTCCATCTTTTGTGCTCAAAGCATTATGTATGAAAATGCCAGTTCCTTGTCAACAAAATTCAAAATAGGCCTATTGTTTGGCAATGTCCTCAAATTGCCAGTGTCATCTTTTAGCCATGATTCACTGCCGTTGCTTTGTCCTTCCATCATTAGCTTGTCTGTACTGTCAATTGCTTAAATCAGCCAATGCTAGAGGATGTCAATCTTGTAGCACCTACGTGTACATGTACTGTCACAAAGCGCAGGACAACTTGTGCATGTGATGTGAAATAACATCTTTACACCATGACTTCAATGAGCTCATAAGTTCCTGTACTGCCCCAAACTGCCCCGATTGTTGCTCCCTATACTGCCCCAAAACTGCTCTGCATGTTACTCCCTATACTGCCCCAAAGTGCCCTGCTCATTACTCCCTATACTGCCCCAAAGTGCCCTGCTCATTACTCCCTATACTGCCCCAGACTGCCCTGCTTGTTACTCCCTATACTGCCCCAAACTGCTCAAACATTTTATGGCTTCATCAAGGAATAAATACAATGTAATGCAATGTAGTACAAGTGCTCATGGGTTCAACATGTTACATGTATATATACTGGGTAATTTCAGTGAGCTAGAAATGACCAGTTAAGGTCAAGTTAGACATACAGTTCAATTCAGAGAAGTTATATATTTTATATAAAATATTACCAATTTCTCCATTATGTCAGCAAAATAACCTGTAATTGTGATTGTTCACCGTTGATTAAATCTGAATATTGCCAGGTGTAGATTATTTGAATCTAATCATGGGAAATTTGTGAAGTTTTGAAAATACTGAGATGTAATTGTTGGAGTTTTGCACTGTTTATCATTGTCTATAATCTACAGGCTATCTTATTCAGGTCATGTATTATGTGCGACACAAACAATCTCTGCATAGCCATCCCAGTGCAGATACTCTGCACATCGTACAGAATTTGACAATGTTATTTGTAGACAGCATCAGAGTTCATAGCATTTTCTATGAGGAACATGTATTTTGCTACTTTATTAATATACCTACATTTATCAGGAGTGCAGGTTTCTCTTGGATGAGCTGTTTCCTCATTTTACACTTAGAAAAGCACTACAGAGTCTTGTAAAGCTTGAAATTTCCTCTTTTTCAGTGGTACTTCCCAGTTACATGCCTGATTTATTGTAATGTGTCTATGCTTCAAATTGATTGTTTGTCTTTGTATACAATATAGACTGTATCAAGGGTTATTTTTCCTCATTTATGTTTCATCACATCAAGAATGTAAGTACCCTTTACAACATTTCTTGTCAGTACTTGAAGAATAAAGATGTGTTGTCTAAAGGTTATTGATTTTGTTTTCACTTAAGTTTTACCTGTATAAAGAACTGAACATATTAATAGTGCTAGTAAGAAAGTTAATGTTTATACAGGGTGATTAATTATTTGAATTTTGTGAATATTTTTGTATTGTTTTCCTCCAAAGTGAATTGCAATAGTTAAAGGAATGTATTATAGACAGATATTTCTTGGCAGTATATACAGTATTTACACGTACTTGGAGTATGAAGGTCATTTTGTAACTTGCACCAAGGAATATAATTTCTGAATAGTTTGCAAGTCTATTCTGATGAGACACTTCTGAAGTAGATGTGTACTGATTGTCACCTCACATATTTTTCTGTATGTACCAGTAAAACCACTCTTGTAGGTTAGTGTCGGGACAGATACAATTAGATATGATGGAAAAAATATACTAGGTTAAAACAGTGCTCACTGATGATCTATGAAAGTTGCCGAATGTTCAGACGAATCGTCCATCATCAGGGCAGTGCAGCATTGAGAAGTGTTTTAACTTTATACATTTCCCCACTATAATTCAGTGCTTTGCAGCAATTTGTATTTCACACTTAGATATTTATACATTTCTGTGTGGTTATTTATTTCAAAGGTCCAAACTTCTTTGTAGTGACATTTGATATTAAATTTTCATATTTCCTCTGTCATGAATCTCAAATTGTCCTTTGATGAGCAGCAATGTATGAACCTTTTAGTCCATGTACTGCCCAAAAGCACCCTGCCTCTTGCTCCTTATACCGCCCCAAACTGCCCAAGCACTCCATGGTTTTATGGTTCATCAAGGAGTAAACACAGTGTAGAACAATGTTAAACAAATGCTAATGGTTAAAGTGCTGCAGAGGGTTTTTTTTTTTGGTCATGTACTGAATACTTTTCTCGATGCCCCAGCTGGTGTTTATCAGACCAGAGTTCTGCTTTTTTGTCATGTACATATTAACTATGTGTCAGGTGTGCCTCATGAATATTTATTAAAAGTTTTATGGACATTTAAAGGATGCCCGAGTTGTTCAGATTTGTGTCATTATTAACTGCGTCTGTAACCTTGTCAAGTTTGTATAGTGGAACCTGTTTCATAAACTATAGGAAAGAAAGAAGTGCTTGAAAGTACTCGTGTTGTTAAGGGACACATGGTCATATTTTCAGTTGAATCATTTTATTCATTTCATTTACTTTACAGTTTCGAACTGAAATTCAAACATTAGATCCTGTTAACAGAAACTAAAATAACATTCAAATGGAATTCTAATTTGGACGGAGAGTATGTTTTTATGTACACTATTTACAAACTGTTAAAAAGTCCAGAGAGCAAACTGAAGAATAGTGAATAGTCGGTGGATGCTAGGCCTTTTTGGTGGTTAACTCGTTGCAGAATAGTCATAGCTAACTACTGCTGAAACTTGTATTATTTCTTGCCGCTAGTGCAAGTTGCTTTATGTTAAATGTCGATGTCCTACCTCAAAAAAACAAAAGTATATATCTATTTACTAAAATAAATATAAGATATATATTGTCAATGTCTAGTAATTTGCATTCACTAATAACAGGCGTGCAACTTTCCTCGGATCCACTGATTTCCTTGTTTTTCACTTCTCATGAATGCCATTACAAACTGAAAAACACTGTACAAAGTCTGGTGTGGTTTGGAATGTCCTCGTTTTTTTCTAAAGTCCCAGTTGCATGCCTGTAATTAATGAAAGCGATTTAAGAGGAATTGGTTTTTGGATTGTGTCATCGGCTTGATTAATGACAAAATGTCTTGAAATATCTGCAGTTCCATAGCAAGTGCTTAACTAAATCATGGTTGTTAAGTTGGTTTTATACTTACTCTGAGCCATATTTGCTTATTGATAATTTCTTACCGATCAAGCAATATTATTGGTCCGGTGATGAAAATTAAGGTCAGCTCAATTATTTTTTCAGCACTTAACAGGCGTGCCAAGCACATTTTCCCCCCTCATTTAGCAAGATTTGTACTTATCAATGATAAGCAAGCAATAACTAGCCTCACAACAGCACTTTAATGCTTAAGCAATGTCTTAATCAAGTCAAAACAAAACCATACGAACCAAATATACTGTATAAAGAGACAGTGAAAGGAGAAGAAAATGTTTGCACAATCAGTGCTTTCACTTTGGGTTTGTGTGTCATTTTCATCAACTACATGTACCAAAGGTACACTGAAAATGACAATGTTTCCAGTTGCAGTTGACACTGCATTTACATACATACATGGCATATCAAAGCAGTGTCATTGTATTGGACCCTGAGTGGGAGCCCAACGGTTATTCAGAACATTATTTAGAACCTTTGGCTGTGGTATAAACATGTAGGCAGACTATTAAGCAATGGTCAACACTACAGCTGCTCTCCAGCATTGTATTAAATCAGGCAAAAGACTTAACTGGTAATTCTATCATACTTGAACACTCCCTCACCCCAATGGGCTCCATGCACAAGTACCCCTTCAACGACCAGAAAAGGAGAGTCAGGGGAGACCTAGATGAGTTCCCGGTCCATCCACTGCAGACTTCAAATGTATCCATAGTTATGGGGGGCGGGGATTAGTCTGGGAGACCATCCAAAAGGAAATTTGAACGCATTTGCGCACCGACGACGCCTGACGCTCACATGAAGACGCTGTGGCTTAGCTTCGGCACATGCAGGATAAATAAGTCCAGTACTTAAAAGAACCAGTACACAACTCTCAAAAAGTGGCTAAAAACACGCCCTTTTTGTTGGCGCACGGAGCCCATAGGGAAGCTGAAATGCATGTAGGTATCAAATTGAAGGTGTGATGTTCACAAGCTACCATGGCGGTTGTTTCTTATTGTGGTCATAAAATAAACTTATACATTCATGAATCATGTTACATATTTATCAATACAAAATGACTACCTTGAGACACAGCAAATAAGATTCACAATACAGTGTGTCACTAAGAGGTTACCATGGAGTGCATTATTGGGGGAAAAAATGACATTACACTCCAAGGGGGAACTCCTTTTGCACTACAGCATGGTAGTTTTACACTCTGGGGACCTTTAAATAGGGAATTTTGTTTGAACAACAATTGTTGGTCTATTTATGGAGCTTCCAAATGCATTTGTGATTGTGCGGTATGCAGGATAGTATGTTGACTGTATAAGTGAATAGTACTTGGCCTCTTCCAGGCAAACGCATGGTGACATACACTCTATTGTGAATCCTTCATAATGTCAAACGGTATCGCTCATCAACTCAAACTTTCTGCAAATCCCCCAACACCACAAATTTGCAGCTGATCCCAATTATTTTACTCCTGCTGTACCAGTCGCTTGGGCAATGGATTGACCAGCATACTCTCCACGCACTCAAACACTGTGTGTGGATCCTGGTCAGCATTGATATGATGTGCATCCTCATAGAAGTCTGCAATCTCCTCGGCATAGGCATAGTACTGGGACAGGCGGTTGCGAACGATTTCCTCTGCGTCCTTTGGGTGCTGGACAGAGCGGTCTTTGATTCTATTGGTGCGTGGTGGGTTATAGAGGGCGTGGTACTGATCACCTGTCACCACGTCAAGGGAGCGTAGTGTCAAGCGCTCATAGACCGAGTCATTGGGAACGTCCAGGAAAAACACCCTGTTGAAAATGTACAAAGATATGGCCACTTGTTCATTCCACAGTTTCACAATCTTTTGAATTCTTGTCAAATACTAAACAAATACAGGGGTCACATCTGGTATAGCAAGAGACAAGTAAAATATCATTGTCTCATTCTGACTAGACTTGCATGTGCATCAAACTTAAATTCAAAAATCGTTTGTGGAAAGCGATTTTTTTTATCCCACGGATGAATCAGTAGAAGCCATTACAGCCAAAACATGGAACTGAATGTAAACATGGATGGAACCTCATGTGGGGCTTTCAAATTGAGGGATTTGAAACACTGAAAGGTTGGCCCTAGTAAGGCCACTCTGGTACACAGCCAATGAATCTTGTTTGGGGCAGAGGGAAACAGTACAAGTGGCTTCTGCAACTTTGGTTACCGAGGTAACATTGGTTACTGCGGAAACATTGGTTACTGCAGAAACATTGGTTACTGCGGAAACATTGGTTACTGCAGAAACATTGGTTACTGCAGAAACATTGTTTACTGTAGTTGTTTTAATTTCAAGTTAGTAAAGAATTACCATTTCTCCTCAATGTCTCTGATGGGCACTTTTTCTGTCAAAGTGCAGTGTGCAAAATATGTGCAATAAACACTGCTACTTATTACAGAGAAGTACATGTACCCACAAGTGGACCTACAAGGTTTGCATCATGGTATAGGGTACCAGACCAAGATGGCCTAGCCTTTCACCAACACATGCGAGACCACACATGCGAGTGGCAAAGCCACGAGGGCCTTTTGCAACTTGTCGAGAAATTCTTATGTTTTTCTTTATAATCTCGACTTTTTGCTACCCCAAAAGGGTAGCAAAATTCCAACCAATCATCAGCCTGTTTGTGCGTGCGTGGCTACTACCCGGACGCGTCAACGCGCCCGGATGCTTGCACAAATTTAAAAACAAAAAATGCGAGTCTAGTTTTCCCACGAGATCGTGACCGCGTAATTGTTCTTACATTATCTTATTTTAGGCCAAAAAAAAAAAGTCTCCGGTTTCTGGTATGCGCGCGCGTCGCCGTAGCCATGCGCGTCGGCAAAATGAAAAAGTTTTTTTTTCAATGGAAGATGATGTCTCAAAACCGCCAAACTCACTGGTTTGACTGGAATTCTGCTGCTGCACAATTTTAACGTGTTTTTAGATGGGGTTATGATCGAGAATAAGATTTATGTGGCCTCTCTGGACTCCCATATATTTGCACCAAGTTTAGTCGGGCACCATTTGCAGTCATCAGCCGACATTTGAAGCCAAAAAAAAAAAAAAAACAGGTAAAAAAAAGAAAAAGCCGCGTCGCCGCACCACTTTTGGGGCAAGCTCCATACCAGAAACCGGAGACTTTTTTTTTTTGGCCTTAACTGTACTTATAAAGGTATTTCAAGAAATTATTTGAGGGTATGAATAATTCAACAAAATCAAGTTGTTAAAGGCCTCGTGGCTCTGCCACTCGTGCGTGCTGACTTAATCTTTGCTCCAGTCGCTTCAGGTCTTCGCAACTCCGCCGCTCTAAGCCACGTTGGCCTGGGCAAAAGGCTAAAGATGGCCTGACTCACCTGTTTGGTTCATGACCAATCTTAGACAGGTTCTCAGCTTGTTCCCTTGTCCTAGGGAATCCACGCAGCACCCAACCCCTGGTCACACAGTCCAGTTGGGCCAATCGCTCATCCAGTATCTTGATCATCAGGTTGTCTGGCACTGAACCAAGTCATATATGGTGATACATGTAAGTCCGCTTATCAATGTCTTTGGTCACAAGTCTTGTCTTCTTGAGTTTCACCTCTGAATCCTGATTTAGTGAAAGCTAGAGTCCATCATTTGCAGCTATCCAAAAAGTAACTGGCGTAATTATTGTTGAAAAACATACTTGGTTGAAAGATTTTAAGGGGACTAAACTCCCTGTGAAATTATTCTTTCTGGCAAGCTGTCATTTTGAAGTAATCAACGAAAGAAGGCCTTTCCAACGGTTCTTCTTAAGAAGTACCGTAGGAAATTCAAATTAGTAGTTCGTTTTGTTATTCGGCAAAGCGCGCGCAAGCATTGGCACGACGCACACACACGCGCGGTTGCTATAATTCGTCGGATCAGTGCGCGACATCACGTAGCTGCAATCGGCTCAGTGAGAACGTGTCTCGGAAGCTGAATTCAGGCCCAATTCATTCAGCAACTTTTGATTTGAAATCAAGATCCTAGAATGTTGTCTTTCTCAAAATAGACAGCTGAAGCTGAGCTGAAACTTCATCAGGTTAGTTGTTCAGTACCCTTCTTTAGATTTTGAGCACTTTTGTTGCTTCAAACGAACAAAATGCACAAATTACAAATGATGGACTATACCTGTAACCATCTGCTATCAGTGCTGTTATGTTTCTGTTAACACAACAGACATTACCAAAGGTTTGTGCATAAGGATGATTAGACAGAGACAGATTAGACAGATTAGACACAGTTTCCAATCAAAACTGTGTTGACAAGTCTGCTGATGACAAAACTTCACATATACCAATTTCCATGGTTCAATTTCATGGAGTTGCTCAACAATTAGAAAATTGTCAGTAATAGCAGTATAATACACTGTGCAAAACTAAAGCATGCATGGAGGAGCAAATGTTCTAACAAACATAAGTGCGTATAATAACCTCTTATTTCGGTCAAGCATATTCTGCCCCTGAGAAATTGATTAAGAATGTAATCCTTTCAAAATCCTGAGATGTTATGACTCACCTAGCATATTTCTGTCCACATATGGTTTAATTGCCTCACCAATCTTGGATTCATTAGTGATTGCCTCACTCACTAGCTGCCCAGAAGACACTGCAATAAGACATTGGGAAGACATTCATGTCCATATTAATGCATACATAAAGTATTCACAAAGATGCACAAAAGCACATGGTAACCCTACCCAAAAAATCCAACTTTTATAATGTCTTTAATTCTGGTCAACCATATTTTTAGCACAAGAAAAATACTTCATAATCTGCAATTTAAAACTAGTTGACGGAAGATATATAGTTGCATTTCTCTGGCGTAAAAAGTACCCAGGGCCCAATCACGGGGATCAGGTTGTCATAGCTGTGCTTTCCTTGCTTTCCACCGCTATGGCCTGGGTTCGATTCCCACCTGGGCCCAATATGTGGATTGGGTTTTCAGTCCCTACCTGATTTCTTGGGTTTTCCCTAGAATATCATTCTGGGCTTTTCCTCCCACCACGGAAACTATTATTTCCTTCCACATCTTCTACCAAGGGACCCTACTGGAAATAAGTCGAAAGACATTCGTGGGCTATCCTGTCAATCACAATTCAAACAAGTTCAAACACAAGTCAGATTACAAGAAACTGGGGATGAGCAATGACAGAAAAATGCCTCGGTCACGATTCATTTGAATATCATGTCACTTGGTGTTAACGTAGATCGCTTGTGATTGAATTGTGATTGACATGTGAGGACTGGTGATGAACTGATCACAACTCTAGATATGTGTACCTGTCAAATTTGTTCACACAATCTACTGAAGTTTTCCCATTAGGAATAACCTGCCCACTCGATCAATTCTCATTTTTTTTTTTTTTTTGGTTGGGGAGGTGCTTTAATGTATTTAATGGCATGAACTGAAATGCAAAAACTGTTTCGTTTCAGCAGTTGAAAATGCAGACTAAGTACATACTCACCATTGACAATGTTGTACTTGCTGGCTACCAGCGCTGCCTGTACACTCTTACCACTGCCTGTAGGCCCCAGCAGGACAATGCGCGGTGTGTGGGGCGCTAGGGAACGTTTCTGGCTGCTCAGATTTGTCATCACTGGAAGGAAAGTAAAGTGCATATTTTATGTACTATTGAAATAAGCATAGAATGTGATCAAATGAGTACAATTAACCTATTGCGGTAGAATCGCGTCAACGTAGCTTGAGAAATTGTTCAATTACATGACATACAAATGGACACGGAACGCCATGCAAAATCTGAGACAAACAAAAGTCAATGTACAAAATTCCATAGGATTGTCTAAGGGGCGTGGCTGATAGGTCCATTCCCTTGTGAGCAGAGCCATGAAATAAGTCCCTTGGCGGCCAGTGAAGCAGTGTTGTAAGTACTCTTACTCATACTCACATACACTTTTTCGTTGTCATACTTGTACATGTACTTATGAGAATGTACTCATACTCAAAATAAAAAAATCTCCTGTACTTGTACTCATGTAAAATGTGCTCCTGCTGGAATTTAAAATGTTCTTTCAGAGGAATGAGCAGACAAAAGAACCAATTTGCTACTGTTTGGGAGGCTTCTGCATTTATATAATGCCTTGGGTGACAGCAACTCGGCCTTGAGAACATGTTCATGTACTTGTACTCATGTAAATGTACTTAACTACAAGACTCCAGTAAAGTCAACCTACACTGAACTTATGGAAGGTTTTTTCTTTTGCAATTTGCTAACCTCAAGGCAGTACAGGTGGCAACAAAAAAAACGGTTATTACAGAACTGAACTAAATTGTAAGGGGGTATCAGGATTCTGACAAGGAGCTTCATAGTAAGACAGAACAAGGGAAGAAACTTGTGGGATATGTTACTGTACCAGCCCTTGAAAGACAAACAGCAAATGGGAAAAGAGGTGACAGCCAATAGGTCTCGTTCAAATGACGTCATTTCCTACAGACCATCAACATGCATCGGCATTTTGAGCGTCAACTTGCATAACGCGCATCGGCTGCGTCGTATTTCGAACACATTGCGAGCAACAAGCGCTCGTGTTTGGAACATTTTCAACACTCTGCAATGCGTGCTTGATTGCGTAAAATACGCAGTTGCGGTTCTCCTACAGAGATGGCCGTCATTGAGCGAGCCCTATCCTGTAGAGTAGATAGACTGAGAAAGGAGCAGGGAGTTGCTGAAGGAGAAGTAAGCTGACACAATAACAATGAATTCATACCTTGGGAGAACACATCAGCCTTAGGTTGGTCAGCATTGATGGCTTTATAGCCCTTGTTATTGCAGCTTTGCAGGCCGTGGGCATGGCGGTGATACACCACCAAGCGGGTCACCGTGGCTTCCTCACCACAACCCTCAGCAGGTTCTATCAGACGACGCTCTATCTCACTGCCTGCTGGGTAGTCAAAGGTGGTATGGTATACATCTGAAGGGAAGAACAAAAATATGTACATGTGTTGACTGAACCCTAGCCTCATCTGATACTATCAAGCGATGTTTACGTGTTTAAAGGAAAAGTAACAAACATTTCAAAGTCCGTTTACAAATTTTCCAAAACATTTAAACAGATCCCATACATTAACAACAGCTCATTTTGTTCATGAATTTAGCCTTCCAGAGGTATTACAAGAAGACCTCTTTATGAAAGAAAGCTGAATCAACTAAAAATGATTCAACTGCAAAAGGCATTTTGTAACATTTTCCTGTTGATTCTTTCTTTAACAGAATGAAGGAAATCTTACCTCCTGTTTCTGGGTCTACTCTCTTGCCCATCTGTCTCTCAATCAGAACGGTGTCTGGTGCCTCCAAAACAACTACAATGATTTTAAGAATCATAAAGTTTTACACACTGTGTCTACGCATCAGGTCTCTAAGAATGGGCTCAGACACAATCACCACTTGACAAATGAAACTGTACAGGACAACCACTTTTTGGATCCAATTCATCAGAATAACATTCCACAGCTTTGCATTAGGCAACCTTATCTGTGGCAAACCATAGAAAAAGGACACAGAAGTCACAACTCTTAGGCTACTTAAATTCAACATTAACATTCCAGTGCCTCGGTAATGCCCATAGCTACAACACTGTGACTGCAAGTTTCGACCATTCAAAGCTTGACTGCAAGCGGCCTTTGAACATGATGATCGTCGCCGCCTTTTGAGTTGGTAACCAACAACCTCCCCACATGCTGCATAATAAGTCATGTCACGTCGTTGCTAATTTTTTTGGGAAAAAAACTATTTACGGAAAGATAGGTTTTAACAAATGCGCAGTTGTTAGATGTGAGTTATAAATATTTGAAGATGAATTGATTTTTTTCCCGATAAGTTAGCATGTTTTTCCAAAAATGTTAATTGACAAAATAGCATTTATGAAATGTGATATTTTGGGAAATTTCCTATGTTTTTTCACTAAATGTATAGAGCATTTTGTTCGTCATGAAATGATTGTTTTAGCTAAGTTGACCACATTGTTACCCAGTATTAGCCACCTCCGAACAAACGCTTTCAACATCATTCATTTTTGGCGATGTATGACAACTACGCATACGTATAGGCGAGGCGTCATAAATAAATTAACCGTTCGCACGCGTGCGCACGCTAGGAACGGGGCCTTTTGTTACATCTACCTCCCGTTCGCACGCGTGCTCACGGCATCCCGTTCCAAACGCGTTCTCGTACAACAAAAGGCCAGTCACGGTCTGTGCACACACGAAGAGCTCATCGGCACTAAAAGTATCCGACAAACTTTCTCGTCGCTACAGGCTAGCCCGTACAGTACAGGGGGGACGTATAAAAATACGGGCACCTTGAACGGGGAAAGCAGTCCTTTGCAAACTTTACTATCAGTATGTATAAAATTTGAATATTGGATTTATAATTCGCTGATAGTGTGTACAAGGCCAGTTTATAACATCAGTCAGCAAACTTCTTACAATGTTTTAAACTTGTTTTTGTGAACATTATATGCAGTACCGTACCTGCTAATTTACATTTCCGTGCTTGTACCCAAAAAAAAAAAGAATACTCGCACTTCGTTTTACATAAAACATGGAGGAAGGAATAGAGTGTTAAACGTCTCAATTATTTTTTGGGTTGGATACGATCTAGTGTAGTATATCTGGTTTTCTCAATTTTTATTTTAAAACGACTTTATCTTCTTCGTCTGTTTTCATTTCTGAACTGCAAACGCGTTTTTCAGTAGATTCCGTGGTAAATTTTAACGAATTACGCCCAGGTTTCTGGCTTTTAAATTGCCCAGGAATATCTTAAAAGGTCAGGCATGGTTGTCTCTTGTTGAAGTCTCAGTAATTCCTGCCACCAACTGATCATCGTCGTGCAAGGTGCGAGGTTCATGCGCTGCACCGTCCTCCCGCGTGCGAACGGGCCCCCTGCTGTACGTCGTGTAACCCGTCTCATGCCTCTTGCATTTACATGCTATGTAGTATGCAATGCTAGCCCGGGGGCTGACTGTTTATAAAACGTGGGAATTGCGTGCTCAGGGGGAAGTCCCAAGTCGTGCAAAACGGCTGTTTCATGTATCATTTTCTTGAAATGTTTCGCTGCGTGGCCTTTGTACGTAAAAAAAAATTAAAATAATATCAAACAAAACTGAAATCTAATACTAATAAGTAACAGACCCTCACAATTATTTAACTGCACTGTGTATAGGCCTACATATACATGTACATGATTGTGTTCGCCGGCGTGCTGACAGGCCGCCATGCATATACACGGGCATGTACATTGTACTCGCAATCGCGCATGGCCATGCAGTAGTGTAGCATGGTCAGTACAAAATGGCATGGTTCCCACCGGCCGTACCGCCGTATAATGATAATGACAGAAGGTGCATTCATGGTACGTCGGAACTTCGGCAGCATCAACATGTCACCAACAGCACATATGGAAAAGTTTCATGGCTAAAGTCTCAAAAAATCAGTTGTGTGTCTATGTGACCTTCGGGACACGCCACGCGTGTACTGAATGGGTCAATGCTCAATCATGCATTATGCATAACTCCTCTGTGTAGCAAGTATGCGTGTGGCCAGTACCGAAGAGTCCATTGTGACAAATGGGTAAACCGCAACGCGTAACTCCAATAAACAACAGGTGTTTACACAGGCCTACACATTGGAAACATCATCTTTCTCTATGGCAAAATATAGGACATAGTGAAAAACACAACAATGAAAATAAAGCAACCTGAAAGAAGATCTCACATGAATTTTAGCCATACGAAAATCCCAAATAAGTTACGGACACTGCTGGGCTTGCAATCATGCACTTGAATTGACCACGCTGCGCGCGTGCCGAATGGTATTGGAATGCCGGGCGACCCCGATTTATATGTTTTTTCGTTTGGCGACTAAAACCATTTTTTCACCGGTGGACCGGATTCGGAGCGACTGCGGCTAACCCGTTTTTGTGCGTAACACGGAAACACGTCCATATCGGTGTAGCAAAAGAGACTACTTTTCCATATGTGAAAACAATCAGAACTTTTTTTCCAGAAAGACATTTTCCGAAGTCGCGAATATATATTGAGAATTAAATGTTTGTGTTTGTAGCGGACCAACCTCGACAGAGCACGCAGGGGGCTTGGGTGGACCATGGGTGGACTATGAGTGGAAAGTACTGTGCATTTTACGCACGCCGACCACATTGTTATTCGAATCACGCTGGTGTTTCACTTTGCACGTGATTGTGCTGGCTTTCAAAGTTTCCATCATTTCCAGTGAGTATCATGGTATAATGCGTCTCAAATAAATGTCTGAAATGAAAGCATGTATATGTAATTCTTATAGCGGGCAATTTTGGTGGCTATGCGGCACATTTATATACACATGTATAAATGCACTTCGACCGAGGCATGACCAGCAGCATATTCAAACACAACTTTCCTACCGACCGACGCTATTTTGAAGCTGGACTCTAATTTGAAACAAACTATTTTACGGCTTCGTTGTCTTTGGGGGTACAGTACCTTCAAAAATTATACTTCATGAAAAACGCCTGGAGGGAGGGGCTTCCTAAACATGCAGTACGTCATGCATGCGGCAGGCTGCCTAAATTAATCTTTTTGGTTTATAGGTCCTCTTTAAATTACTAGGTCGGTGCATGGCATCAAGTCTGGGGTAGGAGGTTACTATTCGGTTTCAGAAAGTTTCCTACTTATCCAACAGCCTGAAACAAGGAATACAGTTCTGACATGCTTTATTTATATTTTTGTCACATACAGAACGGCTCATGTGTTACAAAACAAACTGATTTCTTTAAAAACATATAAAGTAGGGATATTCTGTAAAGATACTTCTAAAACAAGCTATACAATAACGTAAATGATTTGTAAATTTGTAAATGAACCATCCATTCATACATGTGCATGTACGTCGGAAAGAAATATTTTTATTTACAAATTGGTCGCTTAAATGTGTTTCTTTTTTGTTTATTTTCCAGGTGTATACGAAGGTGGACAAGTGGCGACAAAGATTGGTCTCAAAAATTACTCCCATTACCATTTGTATGCAATAGGCCCTATGTATATAATATATAGTTTACCAAAACGTTATTTGAATCCAAGGACAACTTGATGTATACGCACACTGACATTTTTTGCACATAAAATCACTTCCGTTATACATGTATATAATAATATAACAATTAGAGCACTTTTATAGATTTCGACGGAACAAATCTTCACTAATTTGGTGGTATCGACTAAATTAATCAATTTTGACGGAAAAAATGAAATTGGAAAAAGTGAATATTTTGCCAAATTCGTCCCTTTGTGAAAACTGTAACGATTTCATGAACAAAATACGGGTCTTAAGAACTGTGATGTCTGGGATGGTTCCTTATGCGATGATCGTCCTTGTCCTTCTTGCTCGTGAAGACGTACTTGCAAGAAGAAACTTGGCACCTTCCCAATCCCTTCTGACGAAAGAGGGGTAGGTTCTCACATGGAGGAATACTGCGGGAGTGGAGAGCTTCCGTGAACGTCATGAAATGTCCCGGGTTGTTTGTAGACGGCTTGGGTGAGGGAAAACTTCGCACGCATGCAAGCATTTCCTTGGCAACTGGGGGGTGTGACTTGCAATGTCTGCAAGTAGACTCGTTGCACTTGGTGAAAGTGCACATTCCAATGCGCCTATCTATATGTTGCATCGCAAACAAATAATCTTGATGGCTCTTCTCGTCTTCTTTAAGTCTCTTCGCTGACCCTGAAACAGCCACGTGGGTTTGCCTGTATTCTTCGTAGCTGTAGGGTTGCTCCAGCGATCCACTCGCCAGCATGACCGTTTTGATGGGTTTTCCCGCAAATGTCACTCCTGACCAGTACGTGTCCTTGATCGCGGTCATGGCATTGTTGAAGATTCGATGTTTCTTCTCCTCTGGTGTTAGGTCTTCCTGTGCCAGTGGTAGGTCTCCATCAGAATTGGCAGACAGACTGACTGATGTCAACGCTCTCGTGCAGGGAGCCCAGACTCGCTCAATGGGATTGAGCGCCGAATCCCCTGGACAGTAGGAAGTCACCACCAGAGCATCCAGGTTACTGTCTCTAAACAGGCGGGCATAATAGATCTCGTTGACGGTGTGGTTGACATTGAAATCGGCTCCACCATCAACGAGAAGTACCATCAACGACCGTCCACTCGATACGTCCTCCGCCAGTCCAAGTTCCCCAACGATGTCGTTCATGTGCGAGGCCACTGAGCATGGAGAGTTGGGACTTCTGAGGATAACTGTTGCTTGGTTCTTTTCTGGCAGCCTAAAATAATTTTGAGAAAGCAGAAAGAAATCAACATAT